TTCCTGCGGCCACTGCCACAGCTCGAGCCCACCCCGTCCCTCTAATCGCCTTCTTACCCCCCAGGAATAATTACTGTACTAGTAATTATGTCTGTGTATTAGACATCCCCGCACCCTCCCTCGGGAGACCCTGGCAGTGCAGCAACGCCCCCCCTCCCCCGTCGCGCAAGAATGAACACCTCCAAAAAAGAACAAAACAACACGCCCCTTAAAGAAAGAAAACAATCCTACCTCCGCAGGCACTGGAGACCACCAGTGGTGCCCGTTTGCTTAGCAATCCCTAAGCCCTATTTTCCCTGGCCACCTTCGCCCGGGGCCTGGGACAGTGCGCCAAACGTGGCCGACACTCCCTGCACAGCAACCCTGGCAGAAGGGGAGGGGAAGGAGGGTTCTAGGCTCCACTACCAACCCCTCCTCTCCTGTGTTCAACCTCCCCCTCCCCCCCCCCTAAAAAAAAACACCCGCCCAGGATTCGTTGTAAAAATGAAAAATAATAACATTCATGCTGACATCGCAGATGAAGCCAGGCCCAAGGATGGGTGGCCCGCGCAAGGCATTTTTGCTGCCCCACAGAGCTAGGTCAGCTCAACAGCCTCCTCTGCCTTTGATGGGGGCCAAAGGAATGGTTGTGAAGCCGGAGGGGCTTCCCTTTGAGCAACAGTGGGCTCCAGAGGCGGGTGAGATGTGTGTAGGGGAAAGGACCCAGGGACCTCCCACCCCCGCAGATATATCTGCCTTGAACCTGAACTTGGATAGAGAAAGGCCCAAGAGTCCGACTGGGGCAACTTTCTTTGGTTCGTTGTCTACCCCTGAATAAATGCCACCTTAATCTCGCTGTCTCTGCAGACCCTCTTGAGGGTTCTAATTCGTTCTTATTTGGGCCCCTTACGTTTCTGTCCGACCAGGCGCTTTGGGGCAGCTTTTTGCAGCGGTATCTGTGTTTGTGTCTCGCGTCCTTGGAAGGGAGGTTCTAGTGCTTTACAATAGGCTAAATTGGGTTTGACAGCTTTGGGTAGACTGTCAGAAAAGAAAAGGCTTTTTTTTTTTTAATTACTTCAAGACCCCCCACTGTTTCCCTCCCAAACGGACGTTTTCAAATTTCGGCTTTGAAAATTGGAGTGTTGATTAGTGTGTGGAGGGAGTTGCTGATTTCATTCCTTTGGGTACTAGTAAAACCATTTAAGTATCTTCCGGAAGAGAGAGAGCTATTGACCTTTGCATTGGTTCTGTTTGGACCTGTTGGGTACATAAAATGTCAGTTTTCTGAAAATTTTTGTCTAATTTAGAATGTGTGGTAGGTTTATTTAACTCTTCTGAGAATGCTTAAAATGAAAACGTTTTGTGAAAGGCGAAGATTCTATTACATGGATTGTTCTCTTCAGATTTTAAATTTTAAATTTATATCTTTAACCCTACGCATTAAAATAGCATTGAAGAGGCATAATATTAAAGTTCAGGTGAGCTATAGAAAGGGGATGCGCATTTTTTAAAATGATTGGTGAAATAATATTACTATTAGCCTTAGTTGTTGTCATTAAATGTTAAGATCTACTTGAGAGTCTCCCATAATTTTTCTGGTAGATAGCCATGAGAAGTGGTAATTTCTCCACTTTGAACACTTGCAGTACAACATTCCAGTTTTAATGATTTGGATATTGAAGATAATTGTCTAGTTTAAGACAGGCATTTAACCTAAGCAGCACTTGAAAACATGTTTTAGTGTTCTTGTTCTCTTTTATTTTAGAAATTGTGATTTTGTGAAATATTAATCGTATATTGTTTCTATTGGAAACTCTATAATCAAAAGGGCTTATTATCCAGAAGAAGATCCCCCGTCTCCAAGTTTATTTTATAAATGCGTGTGCTAATTTTTACTTTTAAAAAGCAAAGCTGAATTAGGTTATTTCAGAATCACCCATAGTTCAGGCTGAGGGAAATTGAGGCTTTTTTCTTTTTGGTTTTGCCTAATGTCTGTTTCACTTGCAAACAATTTTTTGTTGGTAAGAGTTTGTTAAAGACAGATGATGGGATTAAAAATAAAGCAATCTATTCTCTTCAAAATGTCTGTTAGTGTTACTAAAAGCACAAGAAATCTAGAGACATTTATCATTTTTTAATGTAAGCATACTTTGAAAAAGGGAATCTTTTATGATTTTTTCATTAACACATTTTGTTGCATATTAATATAATATATTTCGTTTTTCTTTCTATTTCCTACATTGCATTGAAATTTTAAATTTACAACTACTTATTTTAAAATTACATATTTAAACAGATAGACACTAAAACTGGCTTTTCATTTACCAAGTTAGTATATTGTTTAGGTAGTTAACCAATGGTTAGAAGTCATTTTAAATCCACAAATTTTCTAATGGATTTTCAATGTTAGGATGAAAATCTGACTTTGAAATTCTACTTAAGGTTCATACTTTTTGTTTTAAGACTTTCCCTGAGTCATTATTCATTCTTCTTAGATTAACTTTTTAAGGCTACTGTATTCTATAACCTAAGAAAAACTACCTTTCACCACCCTCCCAATCTGACCAAAAGTCCAGATTTACAGGGCTTATCCTACAATTAACTCTTGTTTGAGCAGTGAAAAAATGTACTAAATATCAAATTTTTCATTGAATTGTTTTTGGAAAAGGCATTACTCTCATTTGCTTTTTTAGATACATTTAAAAAGTAGGTGGGAAGCTGGTTTATAATAGCAAAAATTTTATATATATACATGTAGAATAAATAGCATAAAATAAGTAAGTACATATTTATGCAGAGAGATCCAGGTTTCAGTTGTTTGATTATTTGAGCTTAATATTCCCAGTTTAATCGTTCAAATGATATTTAACTTATGTTTTGTCTAGAAATGTCATCAGTTACTTCTGTACTGGGGAACTAAGAACTCGGTTCCTGGATACACTTTTTCAGAAAATCAGAACATTCCCAAACTAAAATTGCTTCAGAACCCCTGAACATAATCATTTGGGACAGGGCAAGAAATTTAGACTCCAAAGGTGTTCCAAGAAGGCTGACTGCTTAAAGCCCTAGTTTTCTGCCCTGGGGAAGTGACCATTAGCACGGAAGAAGGCTGGCGGGTTGGCGCGTGCCCCCTCATCGCAATCCTATTGGGTTTGTTGCTGCCTTGCGCCCTTCTGAGGGGGCAAGAGCTTGGTATAGCGCAGGATAAACACTTGAGGAAGAGCAGCGACTCTTCTAGCTCGGACTTCACCAGATCTTACCCTCAGCTTACAAGTGGTACCAAAATGTCCCTGCTCCGCTGGGTTCTGTAAGGAGACCCTGCCACTCAGCGTTTGCGTCCGTTTGGGGCTGGGGTCTATCCAGGGTCCTGATCGCTACTATGGGAGCCTGGAGAAGCCTCCGCTTCTTTATATGTTTTTCTGTGTGGCTCGAAGTGCGCTTATAGTTCCTACGTCCCCTTCCCGACAGGAGAGGGAGTGCAGGAAAATCAGCATTGAAAGGGAACTATGTGATACTGGAGGATGCCCCCCAAACTAAGGGCAAGTTCTTTATGGTGCCCAAAGCCTGGATTTCTACCTCTTAGTGGGCTTCCCCATTAGGAAGTCATTTCCAGGACCACTGGCCAGGTGAGTGATTCTAGAGCTGGCTCACAAGATTACCTCAGTTGGCTCTTTGGTAGCCAGGGTGCTTTTTGCCCTGTTATCTCTTGAATAGGAGTAGCGAACGTCAGCCTAGAGCTAAAGTAACTAATGCTGGGTAGAATGGGGCCCTTGCTAAGAGAAAAAGAAAGCTGTGGATACCTAGCAGGCAGGTTTGCCCAGGATGTTGCGAAGGGAAATATTAGGGCTTTGAAGGCTCAGGTATTGACAAGGCTTATACCTTGGACTGGTCTGGGTTTCTTGATCATTAGTACTATTTTCACCCCTCTCTTTTCCAGGAAGCTTGGGCAGCCATGTACTCAGCTGTTTCCAGGGCTAAGAGTGAGGGAGACAAGTCTCCTTACTGGAGGGGGTGCAGTATGCTCAGTGGGAATGGAACCCATTGATGGGATAGGCATACTCTTCTCAGGATGGAGGCAGCAATCCATGCTTGAGAAAGTCAGGATTAGGGCTGTTAGGTCTGTACCTTCTGAGCCCCCTGTAGAAGGTGATGGGTAGAGGGTAGGGACATTGGCAGGGGGTCCTCTGGAGATAGGCCTTAGCTTTCCTACAGCTGTTAGGACTGCAGGCTGCAGTGAGGTAGTTATGAGCATTCGCTATATATTTTGGAGAAGGAAAATAGGCCTTAGATTATGCCTCAAATGTAGGAAGAGAAAAATCAATGATTTCTGAGACTAGAGACAACCCCTTTAGCTGTCACTGTCCAAAGACTCATTGGTTAACTAATGGTCGGTAACCTAGCTGTCTGCCTAAAAAAGCAGCAATCATTTAATGTTTTACTTTTTGAGAGGTGGGGGCTCTCCTTGACACTC